TCGTATTGCACTTCGTTCTTTAAATTCTAATGTTGAAATAATTCTGGTCGTTTCTTTGCTAAGAGGCGAAATAGTTAACGGAGGCAGATTACCAAAAGCGTTTTCAGATATTGGTCATGTTTTTATTACTAACATATGAGAGTAAATAGGCGATTTTTTGGGAAGATTTCCCATTAAAGACTATCTTGATCATATTCACATGCGAATTTGCGCCACATAAGTATTAAATTATTATTATCATTATTATTGAGAAGCTAAGCTATTTATGAAATCTTTGAAGAAATTTACTGTCCACAAGTTCATTAATGTGCGGCAGCATTGCTCGACTAGCTCTAATTTTTTGATCAGTTCGATAGCAAGCCCACCTACGAGCAATTCAACTCGACAACGTTATCAACCATTTTTGACGCATATTTTTCATTGTTTTTCTTCCATTTATCTCTATTATCTTATCTTCAGAATTTCAAGACTGTTGACTAATGAGTGGTCAAACAGCGTTTGTAAAATATCTAATTGTTTGCGACCACATTAAGGAAAAAAAAAGGTATCTTAGTGGAACGATTAGGTCGGACATTAAAATTTCCCTGATGAGTTTGAATTTTTCCGCATTTATATATCGTTGGTGAATTTTTTTCTTATCGTTCGGTATTTTCTTCTCTTCAGTTTAACTTAAAGATTTCGTATACAATATAATTGATAGATTGGAGACTGTTCACTTTATTCTTATATCCAAGGGCTTTTTCACGAGTACATTAGGTTTTGTGTCGCAATCCTGATCCGGCGTCCACATAAGATCGTTCAAATATGATAAATTCCTATTCCCTATGAGGCAGCATTTCCTGTATTTAGAAGGTGCAGAGTAGAATCAATAAATGTTTATGGATTGCTCGAAAGCTGTTTGTTAGAAGTGTCAAAGCTTAGCGAAGGCATTTCCTTGACAAATACTAATATTAGCATTTTTCTTTTCTTTTTCTCTTCTCTTTACTTTTCGTTTCTAACTTTCTTCCTTAACCTCTCTCTCATTTAGTTTAATTGTTAGCAATTTCTTACTTTCTTTTTCTTTCTTGCTATCTCTCTTCCTTCCTACCGATGTTAATTTTACTGTTGACATAATTATTTTTAATTTGAATTATGATTATGTTTATTTTATTATGATTACATTTTTTTGCTGAGCAAAATAGTTATTTTATGAACATTACTTGCTAATGATTAATGAATAGTCAAATAGACTTAGGAAAAAAAGGCAATGGAAAAACGTTCTACTACTAACCTTTATCGATGTACCAACTGTTTCACAGTTTAAATTAAACCTCTCCTATAGCTATAGGAAAAACCTAAATTACATTTTACGTATGTACTAGTAAATCTAATAAATTGATGAGACTGACCACTAATAATTTATATATTTACAATAACTAGTATAATATGCAATATCGTTTTCTATTTCCTATATTGGTTTAATCCCATTGAGGCAATAAATCCACAAATCCTCAAAACAGGCACTTATTCAATTTTCTTGCCTTCTAATTGCGATAAAAGGACACCGTTTCCAGGCATTTGGACCTTGTTAGCGTCTCAATTAGATAAATACATTCAATTAATAATGCTCCCAACTCCATATACACTCGGCTTTTAAGTCATGTAATCTGATTATAATAAAAGTAAACAATACCTAACTTAAAAAGTAATCTTATAAACCCTGAATAAGACTTGCTTTAAAAAAGCTAATGCGATATGATTGATGATTTTCTTGTACCTATTAAAGTCCTTTGTATATTCGTCTTTGTAGTCTAGATCAAAGTGCACGGGTATCCATGGTTGTTTCTAGGGTGGTAGTGCGCCTCCTTAAATTCCTTTCACATCCCCATAATGCCTTGCGTCTTTGGTAACCAATCGAAAAACTGTCCCAAATTGAAAGGTTTCTTAATTGAATTTATACTATACCTGCTTTTATCTGTACAATACTGATTATCAGTTTATTCCAAGTTATTCTAGCGCGTACAGATCATCAAGAGTTTTGGTCTTACAGAAAATGTATTGACTTACGAAAAGTTTTTAAAAATTAACCTTAAACGTCTTCAAGCTTCTATCTTTTTCTGTTTTTTACTTCTTCATTTTATTTTTGGATACCAAACAAGGTATTGTCAACATTGCCTGATCAGCCTTCAGAAAAATAAGTGGGTTTTTACCCTCTGGTTACCCCCAAAGTAGAGAATAGGTGCACGTGTTTTGTACTACCCTTTCTTTCCTTTCTCTTATTTTTCATTCATTTTCGATCTATTCTTTGTTTTTTATTTAAAAAATCGACCTATAGGACCTAAAGTGAATCCCGTCGTTATTTTATTTCTAGTACAACTAAAATATATCCGGATGGAATCCGGATGTTAGTACTATAAACCCTCCATCACCAGCCAGTGTGTTCCGATCAACGAACGTCGAATCTGAGACCTCATGTTTGTTTCTTTACAGATACCAATCATGTCTAAAGGAACAGTTCTTGTACTTCTTGTTGTGCTTATTGCCGGTGTTATGGTCCAGACAGGAGACGCCTTCCTTAGAAATGGCAGAAATAACATCCCCTTAGCGCGGGAAGACGGTTTACCCCAAGACTTTTACGAGCAATATTATGAACGATTCCCTCAGGACTCAAGATTCAAGAAACGTGAGTATTATGTTCATTCAGTATTATTGTAATTAATATTATATTCAGTCAATGTCTTGATATCAAAAAGCCGCCTCATGTTGGTACTCAAGCACGACGGAAATGTTCAACAGCGCACTCTGAATAATTTGTCAAAAAAGCGGTTGGTGCGCACTACATTTGATGTTTCGTTAGTCTTTTCAAATATCTGTCATATAAAATAATAGAGAGAGTAAAAACCCTTTTCTAGTTCAGCTAAGTGGTCGGCAGACTGTTTACTAGTTATTTTGAAACAATATGAACTTATTTTTGTGAGTTCAAATTGCATTAATTTTTGGCATGTGCTCGATTGTGATTGGCTCATTGATTGAAGAAATAGAAAAGCGGTTATAAGGCACGCAGAGATTGGCTGAACACTGAGAGAAATTTTAGGAGAAGCACGACGCATGACATATCTTTTTTAATATACAAACTATAATAGCCATTACCTTGGATACGAATGCCGAAATAGAAAGCCTTGGCGCGCGTGCTATGTGCTCTCATAAAGCACGCGCCCTGCAACTAACCAGATGCGCAATTATATATAGTTTAAATGTGTGTTTTAATTAAAGTGTGGACGATCGCAAGTTCTAAGCGAATATACGAATTCTTAGTTTGCAAATATATCATTCTCAAATAAAATAACAAAGGATATGGCGTCCTTGTTGGAAAATAAAACTTAAATCATTGCCAAATTTAGATTTTTCCTGCCTTTTGGCTGCTATGACGTAAAACGAAAAGTAACAATTCATGATTGTCTAATAATACACGATATAATACACACCAATCTCAATGAACTCTTATGATGATTTTGTTTTTTGATTTCAGGACGATTTAGCAAAGACACTGCGTGAATGAATCGGACCCTGTAAATTATTATCAGCATATTTATGGAGGCTTGTGCCGTCTGTAGTCATAGCAACATTACCTGTGGGCTATCAACATCCCCCTTTTCCTAGTAGATTTAGTTTTGTTACATTTTACCCTGTATTGATAAACACGTGACTATACCACGGGCATTGCCACTGAAATGTAATGAACAGAATAAAGTCAATTTAAAGAAAGGCCTTTGGTTCATGTGTATTTTGATATAGAGCTTCTTATTAGGGAAGCACCGGTGGCGCGCGCTGCTAATGCGCCGCCTCTCACCAATGCGGCCCGAGTTCGAGTCCTGCCGATCTCGATGTCGTATGTGAGTAGAGTTGTTTGTTGGTGCTCTCCTGTGCTTCGAGGGCTTTCCGGGTTCTCCGGTTTTCATCTCTCCTCAAAAATCAACTTCTAAATTCTATTTCGATCTTTGGGCTTTCACTTAATTTGGAGCCTAGCTCTGTTGTGATTATTCCACGCTGTGATACAACAGCGAAAAGCTTTGTAGATTTTTTAAAATTCATAGTAGACTGAAAAGTGGTAAATTTGCGCTGGGGGCTCTGGGATCGAAAATGGATACAACTCGTTCCCAGTCTGTTGATCCATCTCCTTGGGCTTCCTGTGGCGAGGACAAAAAGTCGAAGGGGGAGGGAAAAGGAGAAAGAGGAGATCCCTCTTCCCTACTCCTCCTCCTCTCTCACTCCTAGTTTTTCTCTGCCATAAGATTTAGCACAGGGATCCCAAACGGAGAATATATGAGGTAGCCTTCGGAAGAGGCAAGTTCAAGCATGGCGCTGCTTTTTTTGCGGCGCCATGTTGTGTTAAGGATTATGGGAGCGAGCGGATATAAAGTACAAGTTTTTGTATCATTACCTGGACTAATGATGCAAAATTATCTTATCTTTAGCTTCCCATGCAGCTTGCTTTACATGCAGGTCTTTTCTTGATCTCTGCAAGACAGCCTCTCAGCAATATACAGGGAAAGAAAGATAACCTTTGCTCGCAGTGTACAAGTTACTGCGCCAAGCTGTTTTCTTCTCTTGTCGACACTTCAGTTAAAATTTTCCATGGGTACTTTATTTGGTGTCCGACAACACGTTTGAAACTACAGTAAAAATTCAAGGAATGTCATTTTTTTAGCTGTGAAAAAAAACCCTCGGCTATCGAAGTAGTTTTTGATCGAAATCTTGCGGTTTTAGACTGCGGGTTAAACTGATTTAAAAAAAATTCAAAATGTACATCGAACATTAAGAATTTTGGTGGGTGTCCAGAATATCTCGCAATTCGAATTTTCTTCCTAATTTTATTAAAAAAGAAGTAAAAACAGACATAAAAATAAAAATTCAAACAGAGATTTCTAATTTGTTTTATTAAGAATTTATCAATTTATATTATTTCTGTATTATTTGAACATAAACTTGTTTTTTAATGAACGAAAAAAGGCATCCGAAGCTAAATATCAACTTCTTTTAATTCCTTGTAAATGAAATCGACTATAGTAATGACTCTATTTAAGTAATAACTAATAGATATCAATACTATAATCATTCTGGAATATTTTGGACCGAAGACCAAAACATTATATATATTCATAAAGATAATCCCAGGTTCGAGACTAACTACAGATATTTACTCATGATCAACTCTCCCTCCCTAAGGCAGACATACTCTTTGATTGCATGCTACGTCATCGCCGCCATGTTTCTGATTAGCAACCACTGTTTGTACCACCAAGATGGCCGCCATGTCTCTTGACTCTATTGGTAATACTTGCAATCCACAAATATCACTTGAAAAATTTACTATTACAAAGTTCGTATAGTTTCTGTAAAGTAAAGTTTTGATTAAAGTATCGTTTACATATTTGAAAACTTAATTTACATGGAATTTACAACCTATTTTACATCGTTTTTACATATACAAAAGAACAATTTAAACACTATGTAAAACTACAATTTATCTGTAAACTTAATGTACAATTTACATGAACTTAACAAACTTTGTAGATTGGTAATTTTTTAAATTTATTTTTCAAGTTACCCCAAATACTATGATCCTCTCTTTCTGAAGAACACGAAGTATATTAATTTTCCCCTGGTAAAGAGTTAGTAGCTTCACTCTCTAATTTGATTGGACAATTTCGTAGGGGATCTATACGATGATACAAGTATGCTAATTCTCCTGTAAACTACCGCTGAACCATTTAGTTTGTCGTGGGCTTTATTAGAGTAGTTAAAGTAATGTCTAGACTAATATTCTTGGAGTTTTTTGTCATTAAAATCAGAAGCTGTATGATAGCGAAAACTTCTTTAGATCGTTTTTATTTGAGTAGAATTTTGACCCAAATCCAAATTGACTGAATACCATTTTCCGATCGATTTTGAAGTTAAAGTTACCGAAGAAAGCTAGTAAACTTATAAGATTCTTTGACTTGATTGTCACACTACTCAGAGCGCCTTCGAAGGTAATTTTCAATTTACAAATAAAGAACCAACAAAAGCGTGCGCAAAATCTCAGTGCGCATGCCTCGAAATTAAACCGCTGCTCGACAGATGTACAACGATACAACTAACGATTTTTAGATCTAGAAACTTATTGCAGACACTGACTTATTCCAATCAGGGATGGTCTAGATATCCTTAGGATGTAGCGTGAATCTGCGCCACCGTGTAAAAAAAACACACCATTCTTGACGCCATATCTTTGTCTTCTGATTGATTTTCGTGTTCAAGGAACGCATCGAAAACAAGTCGACCTGGTGAATTCATTCACGTTGGCAACGTCGGAAAAGTACTTTCACACCTTAAAGCGCATAAAATCTTGTAGATCGAGCTGAATCGCGGTCTGCTTGGAGGAAGAATATTCCAGCAGTCGTTCATTAGGGAATAGACGCTGGTAGGACAGTCTAACGGACAGGGCAAGAGTACAAACTCTCTGAACCGATGCATAACGTCCTCGTTCGATAAACCATAGTATGGCTGAGCACCGTACGAAAAGAGTTCCCACAGAACGACCCCAAATGACCATATATCTGATTCTGTAGTGAACCTATAGCTAATAATGCTCTCAGGGGCCATCCAACGAACGGGAAGGGGGTGCCTGTTGGGTAGTCGGTAATAGTCGTGTGCGTAACCCGATCTCGTTGCAGCCAGATCGGTAATCTTCACTTCGAATCTCGACCCTATCACGCAGTTTCTTGTAGCCAGATCTCCGTGTACATAATCAATATCAGATAGATAATTCATGCCAGCTGCGATCTGGTACGCAATCGATAATAAGTCGTAGCACCAAAGTGTTGCCGAATCATCTTCGCTGTCTTCGAGTGCATCATCGATGGGTGCGTGTCGGATCAAGTACTCGTGAAGTGTTCCGCATTCTAGATACTCGTAGAGTATATACAGCGGTTGTCCCTGGTCGAGAATACTGAGAATAGGTAGGACGTTCGGGTGCGCGAATTTGAGCCAAGTTTCTTTTCCATCCAGGAATTCTTGTCGTTGTGTCTGGTCGTGCGATTTTCGCAGCACAGAAATGAGTACCTGAGTGACGACCAATTTATTGTCCTGTTGTGTGGAGATTTCTCCGTGATATATTTTGCCAAACTCTCCTTCTCCGAGTTCTTTCAAGAGACGGAGAGATTCTTTCATTTCTTGCATCTGGGATAAAAAAAAGGAAAAATTGTTTATTAAAGTTGAACTAGAGAAGATTGAACTACGTTTATTTAGCAGGAACTGGAAAGGAACAAAGGGAAAGAGCAATGACATTTGAGCATCTGAATAGAAAAACATTGTGTACGCAAGTTGAACGACAGAAGACGACTACTATTAGATACTCTTTTTTATTTAGTGGAAACTGGACAATACCTCGAGAACAGTGTGCGAAATAAGATAGGACCCTTCTGCAAATCAACTATCAGTGAAGGTTGGCTTTCTCATTAAAGATCATTTATTTTTATTATTATCGATCGTCGTTGTCGTTATCATAATCATCACCACCACCATCATCTTGAGGGAGAACGCGCAATAACATATTAGAGCGCTATCCATGTTTCCACAACTCATACAGCTCCTGATGAAACACGCTTTTTCTGCTGTTTTTTCTTTGGTCCATCAAATTTACAAACATCCGAGTTGAATCAATTAATTATTGATTTTTATTGAAGGAGGTCAAAAATCGAAACGCCTCAGTGGAAGTTGTAAAGGTCGTATCTCGTCTATTAAACTGTTAATAAATTTGAAAATGATAATCTGTGCCAGCCTCACCAAATCCCATTGCGCGCGCAGTAATAAGTTCAGTAATAAATCGCAAATAAACATGTGATCAGTTGCCTCACCTTGGAAACAGTCTTGACAGTGACAGGCATAAGGGGCGTGGACGTTTGATTGGCATTGTAAATAATTTGTTTGTGACACCTCCAGCAGACGATGATGACCACAGACGAAAACACGATGGCGATAATAAGGCATGGGATAACTGTGTATAGGATGCTGACCACGTGGATCGTGGGTACTTCTTCTGTAACGGAAGAAAGAAAGGAATTTTAAGGGCAGTGTATATTAATAGGCCTTTTCTAAGTTCGATAATCATGGTGCATTGTGGTCTAGCTTGAGTACAAACAACACTAAATAAGCACGGAAATAGGGTAGAATGCATTGCTTGCTATTCCTGTTTTAGTATCGATCAGGGTTTTCAGTAGAAGTTGGTAGCCGGCGAATCTCGCCTGGTATTTTACATGAACTCACTTTCTATTTACTCGGGCTTTCAAATAAATGCCCGAGGTATAAATTGGGCTTTATTTGCGTTCTGTCACAAATCGCAGTTGCGTTCAAAGCGCATGCGCCACATAAGCACATGGTCGAGCAATGGCGGAATTTTTCAAGGTTTCGTCAGAAGGATGACAGTGTTCACGAAGAATTCTTTCGATTTTCTGCTATGAAGCCCGAGTTCACGCAGATATGCGTCTAGTTTGATTAAAGTTCCCCCCAAAAATAGAGAAAACGTGAGAAAGATTCGCTCGCTGCTCCCCCTATTCATTACGTTTTGCAGCTTACTCGAGCTGGTATTGAAAACCCGGATCAATTTGCGGACTTAAAATAGTTTGAGACTATATTTGCGTTCACTGTTGTAAGTTATTAAGTTGTGTGCTCGTCCTAATTAAAAGGACTTTCTTTTGAGCAGACGCTAGTGGGGGAATGACGGGAACCGGAAGCGCTTCACAGCGGCTCCAAAGGAGGCTACGCATGAGAAGACACATAAAATATGGATACAACTCAAACAAAGAATCTTATTCTCAAGCGAGTAAACCGTTAGGGTTTATTAGGGAAATTTATTTTGTGCAGGAATTTTTTTTCACGTCTCATGGCTGTGCGGGAATTTTTTTGGGACATAATTTGGATTTTTTTTCTGGCACCCCTCCCCCCCACCCCCACTCCCCCTCTAAAATCTAATGGTCCGTCCCTTAGGCCCGAAACGAGGAGGTCTATTTGTTGTGTACGACCACTTTAATACAGTAATGTCACGTCAAACTCACCACAGCGCGCTATAGCACAGTAGTCGTATCTCTTTTTAGGATTGGTGGTGAAGCACCAAGGTCGGTCTTTCTTTCCTCCCGGATTCCGACAGAAGTTGTGACCACCACGCAGCTCATGATGGACAGCAGGTGACATTAAATGGAAGTGCGGTTCTGTGGAGTTCCAGCGCTGACACGAGTATCCCTTCTCGGTGACACTGACGTTACCTTGGTAATGCTCGCCCGTGCCGTTAAAGCAACGATCGCCTGAAAGAAAAGTGAAGCGAAATAAAAACAAAATGGTTAGAAATAAGTTCATACAAAAAAGATGATATCCCTTTGCGTTTAATAAGTGTTTAAAATTTTATCGACACCCTAAAACAACATTTGCCTCTCACTGACCTTTCAGTGGGGCAGTAATGATAAAAGGGTAAATTTTACACCGTGAAATGATGAAAAAACTTACTGACGTTTCGGACGCTAGTCCTTCGTCTTTTACTCCGACGCAGTACTAGCGTCCGAAACGTCAGTAAGTTTTTTTCATCTTTTCACGGTGTAAAATTTACCCTTTTATCATTACTGCATTAAAAACACCAATGCAGCCCACACTAGTTTTTAGCTAGTTATCTCTTCTTTCAGTGGAGAGGTGTTACCGCTCTCTGGGGTCTCAGGTTCGATTCCTGGATTCAGCGTCACGTGTGAGTAAATAAGCCTGAAGCGAGATGACGTTTTACCCCCGTCTCTAGACCATAATAGTTTTAAAAATTCTTTCATATTAAAATTTTTGATTAATTAGAGAATACAGGGACAATAGTCATAATTAAAGAACAAAAGCAATGTGAAAAGGTTTATGGTCTAAAGACGGGGGTAAAACGTCATCTCGCTCCAGGCTTATTCCGTTGGGTCTCTCAGGGTTTTTTCTTCATGTCTCCGGTTTTCTCCCTCCGCAAAACCGAACAAGCTAAATTCCAATTCGATTTGTAAGTTACCCCGCGATAAAATTTGAATTTGAATTTGTTCTTGCGGTGTCATCTGCGAGCCAAATAAATATTGTATATCTTACGGTAATGATAAAAAGGTAAATCATACACCGTGGAAAGATGAAAGAAAAAGATGAAAAAACTTACTATCTTACCTTTCTGTTCCCTGAACCTGACTCCTCTAGTGAACGGCAACCTCAATGGAATACAATTCTTTCCTTCCTTGCTTTCCTTCAGCGGCAACAAAGAACAATCCGGGAATAACACGTGTTCCAAAGACTCTCTCTTGGCGACTATGTACTCATCTCGACAAATGTCTTTCCTTAACAAGTCGCATTCCTCGTAGCATATTGGCCTTGGTTTAGGGTCTGTTGCTACATCATCGCAATAAGGGAACAGATAATGACAAAGGAGAGGAAGTACGTAAGGCTTGCATTTATCGCTTAGTTTCTTTGAAGATGATATCGCATTCAGTGCAATTTCTAGTTTCTTTTCAATGGAGCTTTGCTGGTTGACTGCTTTGATGTAGACAGTCTTTAGAAGATTGATATAAGATGAACATTTGTTTCCTGTGTAGCGTACACAGTATCCTGGATGTGCGGTGGGGGCAGGGTAGGTGCTGCAATCACAAATGCAGACCAACATTAGTTACTGAGAGAAATGGAATTAGATTAGAAATTAGACTTATTAAATTAGAGTGCAAACCATATATATATCCATGAAATAGTACTGAACTATCTAGTACAAAATATCACCAATGAAACACCACTAAGGCCCCGTCCACACGTATACGGAAATTTTTGTATCCGCAAATTATTTTTTGCGGATACGAAAATGTTTGCGTCCACACGTAGCGTATTCGAATCGTTTTCACCGTCCACACGTATCCGTTTTCGTAAAATTTGCTGATACGGGCACAAAAATTTCCGGACACGTGTGGACGCAACCCGAATCCGTAAAAAAAAAACGGATACAAAAATTTGCGGACACGTGTGGACGGGGCCTTAGGTACACCACTAGAGTGCAAACCATATATATCCATGAAATAGTACTAACTATCTACAGTACAAAACAGCACCCATGAAACACCACTAAGGTACACCACTAGAGTGCAAACCATATATCCATAAAATAGTACTAACTATCTACAGTACAAAATAGCACCCATGAAACACCACTAAGGTACACAACTAGTGTACAAACCATATATATCCATGAAATAGTACTATCTACAGTACAAAATAGCACCCATGAAACACCACTAAGGTACACAACTAGTGTACAAACCATATATATCCATGAAATAGTACTATCTAAAGTACAAAATAGCACCCATGAAACACCACTAAGGTACACAACTAGTGTACAAACCATATATATCCATGAAATAGTACTAACTATCTACAGTACAAAATAGCACCCATGAAACACCACTAAAGTACACCACTAGAGTGCAATCCATATATATATCCATGAAATAGTACTATCTACAGTACAAATATCCAGGATTCATCCCTAAAGCTTTTTATTTGTGATCAAGGAAACAAATTCTAACCACTTATAAGAATGAAAATTAAAGTGAAAAAAAAAAGAGTTTCGAAAAAAGTCAATATCTAAGAAATTCAAAGTTGAGTTTTCCCATTTGTTACATTATGTTGATGTTATGTTATAACAGGGTTCATGCCGAGGTAACCACTTAAAATTCAAGGACTATTCAAGGAGTATACAAGGACCCAAAAATGAATTTTCAAGGAGTATGTTCAACTAACTATGCCAAGGTTTTCCACAGTGGTTGCACATGGACGACTTTCAGATTTTCCAATCTTTTTGACTAGATCTATTTCAGAACCATACAAGTAATGATCAAAACAAAAATTCAAGGAGTTTTCAAGGAGTTTCGCTAAAATCGTAAAATTCAAGAGCTTTTCAAGTGCCCTTGAAAACGTGAATTAAATTCAAGGAGTTTTTAAGGAGTTTAAGGAGTAGCATGAACCCTGTTATAAAGACTTACAAATCTTCATGGCCGACATGTAGTTCAGTTGTGGCTGCCGTAGTTGACGAATGTGATTTAGCTTCTTCTGTAATGGACATAAAGTAAGAAAATCAAGTTAGAATATTATCCATACAGGGACGACAGAGCAGGGGAGGGTGGGGGGCTATAATCCCCCAATAATACTCAGCCTTATTTTGAATTACTAGTTTGCTATTTAAGATATCAATAGCCAATGCAAAAAATATGTTGTAAATTCCCCTAAAACCTCTAGAAATTACGCTTCTGAAGGTCTCAGTTTTGAACAAGACGCTCTTGGAGTGTGCACTGGGTTGCCCAATGTGTAGGTATGCTGGAGTTTATTTAACACCTAATCTTTGTTATGTACAGCTATCTGGGGAGAGGGGGTACTTTGGAACATTTTACATGTAGGTGTATTTTTTCCCAGAGCTTCCGAACACTAACTTTTAATATACTTAAAACCAGAATAGCCAGAATACTGCTGACTGAGTGGCTGTAATAATACTACTGCCACAGGCAACCCAGTAAAAACTCTTTCGGTGGTTCTGCCCTCAAACCCTCATAGGTGCCCTTGCCTTCACTGGTCGTCAGCCCCCCCCCCCCCCAATCAAAATTAGGCTCTGCAGTCCCTGCAAAACACATTTATACCTCTTCAGTGGAATAAAGACGTGGGTGTTGTGGGGAAAAAGCAATTAAAGATGTTTTGTCCAGAATTCCCACAAGACTGTGACTTTGGAAGGAACCACACATATCCTATTGCATTTAGTCATGCTGTTTAATAGTTAGGTAAATGTCAACTATTTTGTTGACGTTACGTAAAATAGTAAATAGGTGCCAAATCAACAGTCATGTGACCAGAGTATGTGTGAAGAGACTGTTGATTACAACTTCATTTTCTCTCCTTGATTTTCAGATTTTCATTGAATTTTCAATTTATGTGTCATCAACTAACAACTAAGACATATCACTCACCACATCGTGGGATGCTACAGTAATCATATCTCTTATTAGGATCTGTGGTAAAACACCAAGGATGGTTCTTCTGCCCTCCAGGATTGCGACAGAAATTATGCCCACCTTGTAACTCTGGGTAGGCGGCAGTAGAATTCCATTGTTGACATGTGTAACCATTCTCTGTTATGTTTATACGGCCTCTATAATGTTCACCAGAACCATTAAAACAACTGCCATCTGAAAGAAATAGAACAGAGTAATCGTTTTTAGTGACTTTTGAATTGATCCCTTGTTATGACAATAGCACAGCGCAACCATGACGTCATAAAAACGAAGACAAAGGCGAAATTTGGACAAACAAACTTACAAGTTTACTTTCAGCGGATAATTTTCACAGCTGATCAAATTTGATCTTACTTTACATGGGTTATTATTGTAACTTTAAGCAAAAACAATAAAATCGGTTTGTATAATCCTCGTAGCGGTTAAACAGAATGCAATGTTTGTTCGAATATTTAAGCTATTTTTATAATCAGTGCACTGCGCTATTGGATCGACATTGTGAGGGTGAGGGTCATCAGTAAAAAATTGAACTTTTCTATCATTCTTTCAATAGGAATAAAATAAATCAAGGCAACTTTTATTCAGATGAAAGATGTTACGTTACCCTTGATTTACATGAGTTAAAAAAAAAAAAAAAGAAGTCAAAAACACCTTGTAACTTTAATATTATGCCTACCATACTCACCCCTAGGCCTGACAATAATGTGTGCAGTATTGCTTACACCAACACCAGCTTTATTTTTTGCCTGACAAAAGTATCTGCCAGTGTCTGATACTTGTAATGTTTTGAACTTTAACCGGGATCCCCAGTCAAGTCTGGAACAGAAAATAATTGCATAGCATCAGATTCTCTGTAGATTATGAGTTCTTTAACACTACTAAACCAATCTTTGTCTGTTTCAGGACATAGCAAGGTCTTGCCATAGGAGAGGGGGCTGCAATGTACTATTCCTATGCCTATAAATAGGTGTACATGTTTCAACTTACTTTGCACCCCCAGTTGCTATGCTAATGGTCTGTTTTACCAAAAATAATCTTTTCTTTGTGCTGGGATAAATGTGAAATTTTGCTTTGAATAACTTGTCCCACAGTCAACCAAACTTCCAAGGAGCCATCCAGCTATACAACTAGTTTATTCATATATAGTATGTGTTTTTGACTAAGTTCTTGAACTTTGAGTTAAATCAGGGGGGTGGGGGTAAGGGGTCTCTGCACAGTTTGCAATGATTAAAAAAGGATAAACACAAATTTCAGAATATGCTAGAGTCAGAAATTCCTGGAATTATTATTTTTTTTGCTTATCACACATCAGGAGAATAAAAATAGTGATGATTTCATTTGCTGTTGAATAGGATAGAAATTATAGGCAGAGCTTAAAACAATAACTGGACATCGAACAATGTCTGGTCAGAATTATTGGAACATGTCAGTAACATTGATCCACGAGAGGTATGACCGTGCTAAAAGTAATTTGGCAGGTCACCAAGACTGCTGTCTTACCAGCCTCTATTTTAAGCCCTGATACTAGGAGTAAATTTGTGGAATATATCAAGATTTCCCCATCACCGATTACCTTTTTATTGCAATTCTTCCTTTTTGGGTGTTGTGTAGACTGATACTACCCTTGTACCAGGTTATGTCTGGTAATGGTGATCCAGTTACCATACATTTTAAAACACTCTTTTTTCCTTCTTCTGTAGTTTCATTTAACAGGTTTGTAGTAATAACTGGAGCTAAATAAAAATAACAGAAAAACAGACAGCACTTAGTTTCAAATGTTTATGATCTTAAAAAAACTGAAGCCTAATGCTTTTTTAAAAATCAATCCAATAAGCATCCAAAATTGAAAAATGCTGAGGCGAGGGCAGATTCAGCAATAGACCCCTTCAAAATGTCAGTATGCAGCTCAATTTAGAGGACCATAGATTTTTAATTTTTGCAGGAGATTAAAATTCTTTTGTATTGTCCTTCAAATTGAGCTGCTTTGACGTCACATGCAAAGGGTTGTTAGGCAAAAGGGGGGCCAGAATGCTTCTGCCTTGAAAGGAACCTCTATGACTAACTAGAATAAAGAGGGGGGGTGTGCGCCCTTGGGCCCACTTCTAAATCTACCCATTTGAGAAACTAAAAATAAGAGCAGTCATTATTTTCTTTAAGATAGGCCATGGTACCCTAACTACAGCTATATTGGCTAAGAAATACAAATATGGTAATGGCACTTTCTGAGACAAAATGAAACAAATAAGTGAATTGCCTACAGCCTCAGAAAATGTAGACTTTATGGCAGACATAAATTTATGTTTTCTACTTATAATGAGATTATTATTACTGTTATTTAGTTTGGGCATAATATTTTCATATTTCAGACCTTGTTTTATTTCTTTGAGAATGATATCATTTCATGCAATTGTGGTAAACGAAAATAATACTCAAGGGATTGGGAAAGACATGTTCTGAAATGGGAAAACATTATACCCATGTATTGTACATATATCTATATAAGTAAATGAACATGAAAATGTAGTGATATTTACTTAGAGGGCATACTTGTATGAAAGGACTACAACCTTTCTATAATAGCAGTACACAGTTGAACACTCCACAAAAATTATTACAGTCAAAACAGCTCAAGCTTACCCCCCTAGGTTCCATTAATGATTTCATTATTTGAATATTGAAATTCAGTTCTTTCTTAGAATACCAAGACTTGCGATTTGAAACAATAACCAATTAAAAAATCCAAATCCGACTGGATTATAGGGTTCCATATATTTAATAATCCAATCAGAATTCGAGTTTTGAATTGGTTATTATTTCCAATCCCAAGTCTTGTAATTCTCAGAAAGAATAATGAATTTCAATATTCGAATAATGAAAGCCTTAGTGGAAAATAGGGGGGAGGGGCTTGAGCTGTTTTGACTGTAATTATCAAAATACAAATCTAAAATAACATTCCAGAATGAACTTTGAATTAAAAGTCTACCTAATAATAACATATTTTGAGTGTATACCTTGACATCCAGTACATACTGATGAATTCCTAACAAGATAAAAAGATCAAAAAACATCACTAAATAATCCAACGTAATAAATATAACCGTGGCAGGGCATAAGTTATTCCCATTAACCGAGAATGATATAGTTTTGATGAGGTGATAACTCATAAAATTCGATAATTACAAGGATTTTTTAATCATTTATTAATATAGATTTCTCTAGCTATATAAAAGTAATCAACGTGTTGCATAGTTGCATTTATTAAAGCAAAAATGAATAAATGAATAAGCGAATTTTTAGATCAGGATATAGAAAACTTGGTTTGTGATATGATCATAAAAATTAGAATTTCAAACGAACCGAAAAACAACTTTGGAAGACAAGGGATTCACTTAGTGAATTTTCAAGAGATGAGATCAATTGTTGGTTTCGGTGGGGTCAAAGCTTTACAGAATTAACTTGAATTCAAACGCCATAGCTGACATTAGCCAGACGCGTCTCTTTCTATAACAAACAACATTCTATCTTTTTTTATCTTTTAACGTTAGAAGCGCAATTATGTACACCGGGTTCGCCTTGGTAATTATGGCTTAACAATGAGCTGTTTACTTAAGGCTTTATATCCTAAAATATTCACGAATAAATGTCAATAAGAACAATAAACGCTTGGAATAACATCGTAAAAGGAATTTAGAGCGATCAAACATTACAAGGAAACCTGAAAAATTAAATGAAATAAAAAGCTCTATATTTAGTTTAACACTAAGCTGTTTTGAAAAGTGATTGGTTTGCTGTTTGAGAGAGATTTTTGTTGTTTTTGACGGAAGCAAATGGAGCGTCAAAAAAAGATGTCATGTTAGAGAGGTTCGCTCTCTTTGAAATTGTTTTTGGCCTCATGTTGAGCGCTTTCTGCATGAAATGCATCCAAGAACTATATGTCAACACTAGAATTGCCTTTGGTCTACATCAATCAGTGTCGTCCGCCGAAGGAACTCGAATAACTCCATCAGGTCTCTAGTTACCGAAAGTTTAGACAAAAGAGGAGAAAGCGAATTTCAGAGTCTGTCGTTCGATAATAAGAATGTATGAAAGCTTCGTTGGAAAGGCCGTCTTTGATCGAGACATTTTAGTATGCGAATGTCTACACATTGTCCGAGTTACTTCGTTTTAAACGGTTTCGACGCCAAAGGATAGTGTTTTATTTGAATCACAGTATAGTACAGTAAATAAGAAAGCCCAGTAATCAATAAAATATACGAATCTTTTCAATGTTTTATGGGCTTAATGCTTAACCGTCAATCCCAATTATGAGGAACATTAGCTGGTAAATACAAGCGGTCTGGAAGATAATGCGAAAACAAAACAAAAATATACTTACAATGAAGGAATAGAGCGTCTGTGAAGGGATTGAGTCGATCCTGTTGAACACAACGCAAAAGATTGAACGAGAACGATTAGCGAGTTGAGATGAAGAGCTTGCCAGATGTTCAAACAGGCAACGAACGAGGATTTAAATCATGTGAAATGCCACAACTGATCAGAACATTTAGATCTCCTAACTAAACTGACAAAGCCCCAAAAAGCGGCTAGCTTTTAAGTGAATCGCCCGTGTCATGAATTTACTCGCTTTTTGTAGGTGGCGAAATATTCATGGCTTTTGTAATTGCATTGCAAATTGGACGAGAACTATAAGATCAAACAATAACATTTCGTGTGCAAGGCGCCGATCGCACTAACCTGGCAAAATTATCAACTTCAATAAGAATCCCGTCAGCCACAGTGCTACAACAGTTCCCATGGCCCGACTCTTCTACATAACCGAATGGAAAATCTAAAGATCATTAGCGTGTTATTCGATCCCCAACACACTCTGTATTTGCTATCTCCCCACATAGACACATGTAAAGACTATTCGGAAACCGAATATGTAGATTATTATGGGATTACAACGGGACGTCACTCGAGGTTGACCCGAGGATCACCCGTAGCACTTTGTGCCCTCATTGGCGCTTTCCCAACATTCTGTCTCCTCGCGATAATAAAGATTGCCCTTAAGCATTAAAAAATGTCACATTGGCAATTTAGGAGACAGGAAGAAAGGTTGTTCTAAGATATTGATGATAAAAAAACCAGACATCTTTGAGTCTTCATTCCGACTGACTGCGACAAGGGAAGTATAGTCTTCAGGAAATTGACTGTCAAAAAGTAAATCTTAGACTGTATTTAATTATTTGGAAAATGAGTTGATTCTGGCTGGGAAGTAAAAGTTCAGAGTCACGTTTTGAGCCTTTCAAAGAGAAGCTTCAAAAATACTCTCAGAAACAAAACAAAACAAACCAACCAAAATCCTAGACGCATAAATTTATTATATATTTTAAATAAATTATACTTTATGAAGGAGAAAGAATATGCATACATGTAAAAAAAAAAACCACTTTAAAGAGATAATAGTTATTCCATCTGAAATGTTTATGATCGTAATTAATTTTTAAACCATTTATTTGATCGCTAGTAAACAGTCCAACGAATGCTCCCCAAACCCCGAGACAGGGCAGGGAATTATCGCGAGACCGGGGATTTGACGTGCATTTAACGGCATGAGTGCACGGCTATACGGGAAATTTAACAAAAGTTTAAGAATTTTAACAGCAACTCCCCGGAGGTTGGATTGCTTCAGTTGACTAGTGAATTAATTGAATAATGAATTTACAAATTAACAAAAGGACAGGAAATGGACAAACAAACCTAAAACAAACGTAATTTACCCAATGAATAACAATACAAGTGTGAGTTTATACCAGTGTATAAGTTATAGAAGTTGAAAAAAATGTATCTTTGAGCAGCAGTTACTACAAAAGCGTTTGTTAACGACCATTCAGGCGAAGATGGTCGTTAACAAGAGGTGTCCGGTTTTCAAAGGGAAGATTGGGTGGCCCACAACAGGGAAGCCATGGTTGGTATTTCTCTTCAGTTATTACCACTGAAGTTATTTCTCTTGCAGGATTTGCAAGAAAAAATACCCACGCATTTTACTTCTAGCATACGATTATCCCCATTTAACAATTTTGGTGATAACGATGTATATAGCGCAAATCAGTGTTATCATTTGGATGAGCTATAAAATACTTCTTTTATAGATTACTATAGATATGTATGGTCATATATATATATATATATATATGTGTGTGTATGTATATATATATCCAATTCATCCATCCATCCATTTAAACCCTTCATTATGATTCTACAGTTGTACGTCAGTACCCTCTACATGTCTGGTACGGTTTTATCATAATGACTCAGTACGAGTTTCAAATCTGATCAATTCGAAGCAGACTTGCCTGAGGCAACGATCCGAGGTCATTTTTATAACTGTGCCAGAAAACAAAAAGCCATTATAAAATATATAGTGCAGTATATATACGCATTCCATCTAGAAGGAGAAAAGGGTGTGTGTTAAGAGGGCGTACAATATAAATCAGGATGAAAAAGACGACGGATTTAAGATGCGCACTGTTCACTGCATATTTTAGGTTTGGAGAGGAGGGTCGGGATAAAAAGAATTCAACATTTATGCGGCATATCGAAGCAAATGGTTTGACCTTCACCGTAGATCACATGATGACTCGAGTTTCTGACCCCAAAACACCGTATCGTACCAAGAGACAACAAGACCTTTACGGTTTCCGGAACGTAATTACAACTAGAAAGTCGGAGGTTCGGAAGTCGGAGGGTCGGTTGAAAAAAATCGGTTTCAAAAATCAAGAATTCATGGAAACGTTTTGGAAATCGATTCCAATAAAATTTAAATTTTTGAAAATTTGAACAATTAACTTAATAGCGGTGTTACCAAGAGCATGGGCGATAAAGTATCTCCCTCTACGGTAACCGGGTAATGCTTTCCAGTAATGCTGTAAGCTATACTAGGGAATCTCCCTCTACGGTAACCGGG